GGGGGGGGGATATGTAAATGATTGCTTACTTCCTATGGAGTGCTGTAACAAGGATTGCTAACCAACTGCAGCTTCCAATGACTACTCTAAACCTTTATAATTTCTTTAGATATATCTTTGCTATGTGAAGTCTTACAAAAGGATTCCACAAGCACTACTAAATTTAAAAAAAGGGGGGAAAAGAAGTCTACATAAGTGATAATAATAACCTGAATTATAGTAAGTTTTACAGAGCGAGATCACAGGAGCATTTGGAAGAAAAAGGTCTGAGTATATGACACAGCATGGCGATGTCTAAGCTGGAAGCTGCAGGAAGGACATGAAAGTTGCTCACATTAAGACAGAATAAAATACTAAAAGTAATTATAGGTAAAAGGTTTTTATTTTTTCCAAATTCCTTTTATAAGAGATCTCTTTATAAGAGATCTCTGCTAATTGACCTATCAAAAAAAAAGGGAAATGAAGGTCAGACTAATCTTTTTATAATTACAAACTTAAAAAATTGTGAAAAATTATTATAATTCAATGTGGCCAAAAATTTGAGTGTGCTCTTGAGTTTATAAACAAACTATCTTGCGTATGTGTTTTTGTTCGTCTCTCTGTCCAATCTGTAAACAGCTGTTTTATTTGAGCTCAACAAATTTTTCTTCTTTTATATTTTTTGTTTGAAGCAATTGTCTGTAATCTTAATTTGGCTTATAGATAAATATTATCTAAATTAAAGATATGCTTCTACCAAGTTGCCAGCTAGTCAAAATTATGTTAAAATTGGTCTTATCAATGTCATGATATATTATAACCTGAGAGTCTCTCACTGTTCAAAAACTGTTGTATCAAATATTATGACTGGATGTTCATAAACAACAACAAAAAAAAAGGGTTAAGGTAATTAAATAAAAATCCCTTAGGGTGGAGAGAGATTGCTGGACAGGACTCCAACTGATGAATAAAAAAGCAGCTGCCTGGAATAACATTAACCAGTTTTTATTCATTAATAAGAAGCCCCAATAATCTCCACACCCTTATGGGAGACAGCTCAATAATACTGTTCAAAATATATTACTGTGATATGTTTTCATTGGTCATTGTCAGAAGGTTAAATTTTCAAAAAATAAGACAATAAGGTTTTCTGATTAAAAAAATGCTATTGGTACCAAGCTAAATTAGGGAAACAAAATAATGACAATTTGTTATTGTTAACAATGTATTATTATTGCTAACAGTATATTAAATGCATTCATGCCTTCAAAATATACAGTATTCTAAAATGTAAAACTGGAATTATATAATGTTAGACATCTGCCTTTCTCTTATGCTCCAGATATTTGTAATAAGAGGTTCATGTCAACATGAGGTCATCATTCAAATGATAATTTTTTAACAAGAAGTTATGTGATATATATGCTATATATATGCCACTACATCTGGAAATGCTCAGATGTTGAACAGCCCAATGTTACAAATTTCCTCAATGACATCCTATTAGAACAAAACAAATTGGATAAAAGCTTCTTATGTATTAGATAGAGATGACTGACTAAAAGGGTTAATCTATTGCAATATTTAAATGTGATTAAGATGTGTTTACACATGTGTTTAAATGTTACACATTTAAGTGTATTTCATAAATGTCATCATGCCTGTTATGTTACAATACTACATATGGCTTTTGATTTCAAATTTTCTTTGTAAAACTATTTAACAGTTGTCTGTTAACATTGTGCAGGGATTCAACTACTAGAACACCCATGATTGATAAGAAATAACAGTTCTTTGGCAGTACTTTATAATTCAAAATGCTTAATACTCAGATAAAATTTTAATAATTAAGTTCATTGCTTCCATTACAATGTAATATCATTAATCATCTCTGCTGGATGTTTAACAACTGAGGTTTGGAGACCAAAAATTAGAGAGAGAAATTGGGCTAAGAGGACACCAATATTTTGGCCAAAGTCCTCCCAGGTCAATGAGGACCCTCTATTGTGATATCCTATAACTCAGTTGAGTCCCTGGTCTTCTGATCAAGGAGACTGTGGGACTACAGAGGAAAGTGATTCTATGGTGTATAGTGTGGCTAAGGAGAGTCACCAGAAGAGAAAAAGCCTCCCAAGCTTTCACAGAACACAACTTGGTCAAGCAATGGCCGGGACTCATCCTGATGGCTGACACTGACAGAAGTACTGAGAGGCATGCACATGGTTCCAAGGTAAATCCTGAGGAGATTTAACTGACCTTGATAGATAGCAAGAAATTAATTTTAATTAATACAGAGCTCATTTTAACTTGGTCTTGAACATCCAGCAGAAAGCATAACCACAAGATATTAGATAGATAAATAAATAAATAAATAAGGTGGCCCAGTACAGTTAATAACATGGAGACAAGCGTATGTTTGTATATTAACAGGTCATAAAACATCATTGCGGAAGCCATCCTGGAACATGGGGCCGTAATAGAGACAAGAGATCTTCAAACTCGTGAAGTCTGCTGCCAACAGATCTGTCATGGACTCTACAGTGGACTGATTATATTAACATGCTGTGTCTTTTACTTCTGTTCTGATGAAGCTAATCATATTTCAATTGTTAATTTACAAAAACAAAAAGGAGGGGGGCTGGGGATTTAGCTCAGCGGCAAAGCACCTGCCTGGCAAGCGCAAGGTCGTGAGTTCGGTTCCCGGTACCGGAGAAAAACCAAAAAAAAAAAAAAAAAAAAAAAAAAGACCACAAAAAGGAGGGGTTGTTGGGGACACTACAAAGTGGCTCTGAGCAGGATTTAATATTAACCAATTGGCTTTCCATGTTTACTTGTGAGTTGTCTGAAGCTTAGGCACCTTAGGCACCTTTCTGACAAGGCCACAGCTGAGGACATTTGGCTCCAACCCCAATTAACCACAAGGAGACTGCAGCTGCAGGCCCCACACTCCTACAATAAATACCAACCTAAAGGTAAAGTAGTTGTCCTGATTAACATAATTTACTACTTGGGAAAATTCTCCCAAGGTCCTGCAGGATTCTCGAGTTTTCTTGAGTATCCTCTCCCTTTGCTTGAAAACCTAATAAATACGGGCCGCCCAGAGCAATCTTTGGGTAACTCAGAGAATAGCGAGACTGTAAGGGAGTTAGTCCCTCCTGGTGCCCTAAAAACATTACCATTGTCTCATTTATTTAAGCCTTTGATGTCCACTCACTTGGGCGATTGCAGGCCTGATCATCCTGCAATAATTTAGGTTATTTAACCCGGTTTTTGATACAAAACAGTAAGACTAGAAAGGTGACAAGAATGGCCTGCCACATAGAAAAGGAAAGCTAAGCACACGTGCTGTCAATGTAAGTCACAGATGTACACAGAGCATCCAGCTGGCACGTGCTAGAACTGAACAGCAGAAAAAGCCACAAAGACTACATATAAAGTTAACAGTCAATGGATCATGAAGCAAGCAGGGAAAAAAAACTTCCTGCTGTGTGTGGTGATGCATGCCTGTAATCCCAACACTCAGGAGGCCAAGAAGAATTGCTGCATGTGTAAGGTCAGCATGGGCACATACCGAGTTCGAGGCCATTATGAACTCCATGGTGAGCCTCTGTCTCAAAAAACAAAACAAAACAAAACAACAGAAAGGAAAGAAGTTCCCAGCATGAAAGGACAATGGGAGCACAACATACCAAAACCTGTAATGGTAAATGCACACATAATAGTAACAGAATGACCCCCAACAAGTAACCTAAAGATGCATCTCAAGGTCCTAGAAAGATAAGAATAATCCAAATCTGACACTAACAGAGGGGAGGACATTACAAAGATCAGAGCAGAAACTGATAAACTGAAATTAAACAACAATACAAAGGACGGATGAACCGGAGTTAGTTCTTTGAAAGGATGGGAAGGTGGTCTGCAGGTGGGGAGGACCGCAGGCAGGAGGGTGGAAGGAAGTAAAGTGGATCACGATGCGGATGTATATGTGTACCAGTTCCCCCACAATGAACGTATTTACTACATATTGCAAATATGTACTAATAAAAAATTGAAAAAAAACACAAAGAAAAAAATAATAAAAAATACATAATTAAAAATAAAACAGCTGGTATGGTGGCACATGCCTATAATTCCAGCACTCGGGAGGCTGAGGCAGGAGAATCCCCATAAATTCAAAGCCAGCATGGGCTACATAGTGAGTTCAAGGCCAGCCTGAACTACGTAGCAAGACCCTATCTCAAAAAAATAAAGAAAATGGTGCAAATCAGCAGTTTCTTGTTAATCCACTCCCTATTACTCAGCAATTTAAAATAGGCAACATACCTGTACTCGTTAGTGTAGTCAAAATCTTGCTTATTATGAGTTGGCTTCAGGAAATTACACTCTATAATTCCAACTACTCCAACACCCATGTTGTTTGCCTGAAGTAACAACATGAAATCATCACTTTAGACATATCATGCTCAAAACATTCTTAAACAGAGATTTACAACTTGTAGAAAATATTTTCCTACATTTATCATAAGCAAGTCTCATGAAATTTAGACAGAAACCAGAACACTTTCTGGAAGTGATTTAGTTGGGGAAGGGGGAACATTAATGCCTAAATAGAGCCTTTCTCTAAAACCATTCCCATTACTTCCAAGTATCTACTTGGACAAGTACAGTATTATCATGCCATGCTCACATCTGTCCAAAAGAAAAAGGTCAACTACTAGGCTGCAATTCCTTGCAGAGCAGGAGCCACAAATAACTCATCTCAATGCGGCAGTGCCCTACACAGGTTGTGACATATAATACTCTGATGGTTTGCTAGATAACGGTTAACAGCCTACGGTCCAGCAGGAAGACCACTTGCAAAGAGTCAGGAGCTCAAGGCCAGCCTGGGCAACAGGGCAAAACCCCACCTCTAAAACCAAGGATAAAGCCAGTCATCCAGTTTCACATTCAGTTGCTAATGAGCAAGGAGTAAAACCTAGGTCAGGTGAATCTGTTTTTTTTTTTAAAACACTGACAGCTAAAATATTGGGCTCAAGTATGAGTCATATTCTGAATATTTACATGAGATTAACGAGTGCATTTTGCTCCAAATTATCACTTATTTCTGAGTCAACATTCAAAGAAAAAGATGAAACCATGTTTATAATGTAGGAAACGAGTGTTTTCGTAAACCATAAACTAAACTGCTCAAATCAAACCACAGCCCTGCTCACTTCACCTCACAGTATCTGTCCCAGTGACACCAAGGCCACACCCAACCCCACCCCCGTCTCTCTCTCCCCATTCTTGTGGTCCTCAGTCACAACACACCCAGGCCAACGGCCAACGTGCTCCTTTACACTGCCATCCTCCCAGAGGTCACCTCTTCCGGGAGGGCGCTTCTTGGACTTTCTAAGGCAGTGACATCAACAGAGTCACCAGTGTCTCCAAGAAGACTTTCCTGATGCTTTGAGGATATTCCACAGGACCCTCACCAACTGCGCTGTGGCATGCCGTGCAGCTCACCTTTATATGCTAAGCACATAGCATAGTATTTCATACTGAGTATCTGATACCCGTTTAATACGTCTACTGAACCCACAGAATGAAAGTATTTGGCCCACTCCATGTTCTGGTAAGACAAACATTAACACTTTGCTCGAACAGTCTATTTTTATCGCTAGGCATGGTGGTGCACACCTGTGACCCTAGCACTAGGGAGGCTGAGGCAAGAGGACTGCCAGGAGTTTGGGGCCAGCCTGGGCTACATAGTGAGTCCAGGCCAGCCTGACCTGCATGGCAAGATCCTGTCTCAAAAAACAAAAAACAAGGCCTGGCGTGGTGGCGCACGCCTGTAATCCCAGCACTCGGGAGGCTGAGGCAGAAGGATTATTGCAAGTTCGAGACCAGCCTGGGCTACAAAGTGAGCTCAAAGCCAGCCTGAACTGCAGAGCAAGACCCTGTCTCAAAAAGACAAAAAAACGAAAACAAACAAAAAAAAAACAGCCTATTTTTACAGTCATGCTCACCAAGAAACTATATACATTGTAAATTAAGTGAGCTGAAAAGGGGGCTTTGTATCCTATCTAGTTAAGTCAAATTCCTAAGTGATAAAACAGAAGGAATTTACACATTCTTATGTGGCAGATACACATTAGCAAAATTCCATTACCAAAACTGCATTTCTAATTACTAATAAAGTTGATTAACAGTATATTATAGAGTGTATCTGGCAAAAATAAGTATCTCAATTATAGCTGGAAAATTAACATTTTAAATAAATGTCACTGGTACCTCATATAATTGCCTTTTTAAAATTTCCTGACTAAAATTAGTTGTTGCAAATAACAGTCCAACAAAGTTCTTCTACTTCTGCAAAAGACAGACTGATTACTCTGGACTTGTGTCAAGTAAAACAGATGAAGCAAAGTTACAACCTGTGTTGGATTGTATTCAAGATGAAAAAAGAAAAAAGAGAGAAAATAAACTAGAAAAGAATATACCCAATATTATGGTTTGTGTCTAGATGTTCCCCAAAGGCCTCATGCACTCATATGTGGGACTTCTGGGAAGTAGGTAAAGCTAAAGTGTGTGATACTGGGATTAAGGGCAGGTATGGATGGTACCAATCAAAAAGGCCTGGGGCCTGGATGAAATACAAAGGGACAGAAAGAAGGTAAGCTTACTGCTGCTGCTTGCTGCTTCACTGCTTTCTGCCTGCCATGCTATGAACTGTTTTCTGCGATGCCCCTCTGCCATGCTGCCCTGCCTTACAGCCAGCTGACTATGGACTGAAACCTCTATAAACTGTGAGCCCAAAGAAATCTTTCCTCCTTTAATTTGTGGGCGTCAGGTATTTGTCCCAGCAACAAGAAAAGTAACTAAGACACTGTCTTAAAATCTGTTAACATACTAAGCCAAGTTTGGTGGCATATCCCTGTAATGTCAGTACTTGGGAGTCTGAGACAGGATCGCCACAAATGTGCAGCCAGCCTGAACTAGTGACACCCTGTCTAAAGCACCAACGTATAACTAAATAAATCCTTTCAACACAGTTAACTTTCACAATTATCACCAAACTCTCAGAAAATGCACACACATCCCAAAAAGCCTCCCTGAAAGCATACACGGACTGGCAGGTTGTCCTGGTAGGTTACGGCCATTATCCTAAAGTGAATTCCACAACAGTGAAAGTTTCTAACAGGACAGTTTTAATACATTTAGGAGTTCCAGAAAAGCAAATAACCTACGCAATACCGTTTTTCAGGCTGATTCAGTCAGTACTAATAAATGGCAACCAATTTCATTCTATGAAATAGTCACTGGATCCACATCCAAATGCAGTCAAAGGTGTGCATGGTTGCCTGAGATCTTACACCAACTGCAGAACCTATGTATTAGCCCCAATTTCCTTTTCTGTAAAGCAAGAATAAATATTTTACCTCTCCTACTACATCTGTTCAGAGTCAAGTAAGAAATTAATGCAAAGTTCAATGCCATACAAAGGTTAGATCTGGCATACACAGCTTGGGGGGAAAAACATCGCAAAGTTATTTTATCTTTGATCCAGTAACCTTAGCCCAACTTTGTTAAAAGTAGACATTTTCTAAAAGGGAGGGGGGCAAACATTTTCTTTTCAAATACAGAATCTTACCCTTAGCTGACATCCAACTTTTTCGTAAGCTTTGATGAGTCTATTTCTGTGATACATCATTATCCCATAATGATCTTTATTTCTGCAGTTGAATCCAAAAGTAATTCTCACTGTTTTAGTCTTAAAATGTTAAGGAAAACTCTAAACACAAGATCTCACTCTGTCCCAATTATCATTTGTAAATATTTCATTTTTGTGGAGGAATGGCAGGGTCTCACTATGTAGCCCAGGCCGGCCTTGAATCATGGTGATGCTCCTGCCTCAGCCTCCAACATGCTGAGATTCTCTATTTCATTATTAATAGAGCCTAAAATACATAAAGAAAGGCAAAACCGAGCAGGATTAGAATCCCTATCAGAATAAAATGGAAAAGAGGCTTGACTGACAAATGTCTGCACAGCATCAAAAAAAGGATACTAAAAATTTAGGTCGATAAACATCACGTTCAATGTAGGCAAGACTCTTTGAAACTAGCTGTGTCTTCACTTTCTGTCCACGCAAGATGATCTGCATTCTTGGCTTTAGATATAATATACTGCAATAAGCCTGCAAAGAAACACAGCATTGTCTACTGGCTTGTTATTACACAGATGTGCCTTTAAATAGAAAGCTGTGTGCCTTTAGGACACACATAGTAATTCTTCAATAAAACAATATAGAGATAGGTCAAGGCTAAGTGATAAAGCATGTACTCAGCTGGTGTGAAGCCCTGGTTCCATCGCCAGCACCTGGGGGAAAAAAACACATACATACATACATACACACAGAGAAAGAGAGCGCGCCAGGGATGCAGCTCAGTGGTGTAGCAAGTATGAGGCCCTGAGTTCGACTCGTGGTACCAAAAAAGAGAAAAATAAGATCCCCCCACAAAAAACAGAGACAGAGTAAGAGACAAACACATACTGCAAAGGTATACTGGTTATTCTGATTATTTTTATTAAAAATAAACTCAAAGAACAAATAAATATGAACTTAATATTATGATTAATAAAAATGAGGTACAGGTAACAATTTACTGACCTATATGTTATTAAGTGAAAAAAAGGTATAGAATGTCATGCATGATCTCATTTTACTTATATATATGTATTTTTAAAGTACTAGGGATTGAACTCAGGGCCTTTATACTGAGCTACATCCCCAGTCCATTTTTTTCTTTTGAGACAAGTCTCACTATGCTGCCCAAGCTGGGATCAAACGTGCAATCCTCCTGCCTCAGCCTCCCAAAGGGCTGGAATTAGAAGCATGCACCATCATGCCTGACTTCATTTTAATTTTTGAAAAATGTATGTATGTACAAACAAGGGAATTTTGATCTTTGTCAAGTACACATTGACACTGATATTCTAATCTTTAAAATAATTTTATTTAGGCAAAAATGAGCAAGATTTAATACAAACAGAAGAATAATATACTACATATGTTTGACAAGTAAATTCTGAATAATACACCAACATTTAATCAAAGTAGACAAACATAGTGCTTTTTCAAAATGGAGCTGCTGAGGCTGGGGAGTTAGCTCAGCAGCACAGCGCCTGCCTGGCAAGCGCAAGGTCGTGAGTTCGATTCCCGACACGGGGCGGGGGGTGGGGGGGGTGGAGCTGCAGTCTAAGTATGTTGTCATTTCTTAAAACATGAATATTGAAACACTTTATAGACATCTGAGCAAACTTTACACCTGAAACGCATTAAAATAATGCTCTCTGGCTGGGGGTATAGTTCAGTGGCACAGCACCCGCCTGGCAAGTGAGAGGTAAGTTCGATTCCTGGTCCCAAATAAATAAATTAAATTAAATTAAATTAAATGCTCTTTTCCCATCCCCATGCAATCAGAAACATCTGAAGGAAAAGCACTGAGTAACTCAAAAAGGCTAAGTAACAAGTTGAATACAAACTAAAATCAGAACTTTTGTTTTTGTCCCGACTGCCCATTTCAAAAGCGATGTCTATCACTGTTCAATTCATTAATGATACTTAAAACCCTGCACACTCTGATGCTCTGGTTGCCACTGGACCTACATCATACTTGAGCAAGATTTTTTTTCTCCCCTTTTTGCAGGAGCAGTAACTGGGAATCCAACCCAGGGACATAAGGCACTATATCACCAGCCCTTTTTATTTCTTATTTTGAGACAAGTTCTCTGTAAATTGCCCTGGCTGGCCTTGAATGTGAGAACTTCCTGCCTTAGCCTCCAGAGCAGCTGCATTCTAACCGCCAGGCCATACCCCAGTATGGCAGGACGTATCAAGAAATAGTGCACTTCTACACCGTTCACTGCCAGGACCTCACACAAAGTTCCACAGCAACCGTGTAAACTGTCCAAAAGTCTGTTTGCAGTTATGAAATAACTTTAGCACACACATCAACAAAAACAGCAAAGTTAGTCTTATGTCAAAGTTTGTCAACATGTCATATCATCTTGACTAAAAAACAGTATTTTCATTATCATATCAACCTTGTTACAGATTTTTATTTTTTCAATCTTAAAAATATGCCCATTTCTATACTCAAATCTCAAGCTAAAATGTTTGCAAAATTATAATAATAACAATCTATATAGTCTATATTGATTTAGGAGGACAACTAGGACAGTATTTGGCAAGTATTCCAGAACATTGTAAGAAAAAAATTGAAAAGAAAACACACTCTGAATTTGGTATTTTGTAACTGAATCGAACAGTATGGCCAGCCCAGAAATATACTGTGGACCGGCTCAGTGATACAGTGCCTGCCTACTGCGTTCAAGCCAGCGGGGTAAACACTACTTCCAGCACCACTAATTCAAATAATCTAGGCGCACAGTGAAAGAACCAAAGGCACTATTAAACTTGATTAAAACAAAACAAGGTTTTCTAAGCAAATAAAACACACATGCATAATGAAGAGCAGAGTGCCAGCCCCTGGCAGCCGCCGTGATGCCAATGGGCAGACGGCCGACAGCAGGCAGCACCAGCGCATCCTCAGCCACCCAGCTCGGCACAGAGCTGCATACGTACCCTCAGGGAATAGTCACTCTCAGGGGCAATCTGGTCTATCCTTTCTTGCTTCTTGTACCCTTTCTTCCCTGTGGTCTCATCTAAATCCTCAGGAATTCTGATGTCATATTTATCCTTTTCAAAATCAAACTCTGTTGCATTTTTGTAGCTGTAAAAATAATTTTAGAAAGCAAAATTTAACTTCACAGCAAGATAAGCAAGCAAGCAAGCAAATACAGAAAAACCAAAAACAAACCTACATGTGGTAGACTTCATGGAGGGGGAAGGCTGGATACAAAAGCAAGAAAAAAAGAAAAGGAATCTAGGAAATCATGTCATGCATGTGCTGGCAATGGGAATGCAAAATGACAGTCTAGTGGGCAAACACTAGCAGTTTCTCAAATTACTGAAAACACTGCCTGGCATGACGTCACATGCCTATAATCCTAGTACTTTTGGAGGCTGAGGCAGGAGGATCACATTTCAAGCCGTCTCAGTGACTTAACAAGACCTTGTCTCAAAAAAAAAAGGTGGGGGCTGAGCATGTGGATCAGTAGGAAGGCCCTGAATTTAATCTCCAGTACCCTCTCTCTCCCTCTCCCTCTCTTCCCTCCCTTACCGTATGACCCACCAATTACACTCCTGGGCACTTTTTTAAAAAGTAAAGCCTACATTCCCAGCAAACACCTGTATATCAATGTTTCCAGCATTATTTGTAACAGCACCACATACACAGCTCAGACGTCCTTTACCAGGTGAACAGTTAAATGCAATGAGCGTCTGTCCACACAATAATACACTATTAACAAGAAGCCGACTGATGGGCTGGGGATTTAGCTCAGCGGCAAAAGCGCCTGCCTGGCAAGCGCAAGGTCGTGAGTTCGGTTCCCGGTACCGGAGAAAAAA